AAACGAATTTTTGTTGTCAACACGTGTTATTGACGAATATCGATGATTGATTAACACATGATGAAGTTGATCAATGATTTAATTGAAGAAATCTGGATGATTGTTGAAGGTTGGAAGAGAAATCTGGATGATAAACGATCGATTAGAATGAATTTCAATTGTTATCTAATTCTCTACACTTACATATTTGTGATTGAAAGCTAATATATCATATTTATTAGTTTGTCACCGTGTCCTTTATGTTTAAAGGCTAATTAAATAAGTGGCTGAGAATGATTCCCTTATTCTCAATATTTTTAATTTTCTCAACTTGCTCATCAAAGTTAAAAAGAATATATATACTGAAATGGTCCTTATGGTTTAATAAAAAGACTCGTTGCAGAAAAGATTTTTGAGAGTAAAATAGTCATTTTAAAAAGTTAACAATCAAATTGTTAATGATCACACTAAATCCGCATAAGATATCCAAAATTGGATCACTGACCAAGTTTTTTTTGGACCAAAACCTTATTATTTTCACAAACAGTACTATGGGTGTGTTTGGGATGACTTTTTGAACATAAAAGTCCTTTTTGTAAAAAGATTTTTTGTAAAAGAAATTTGTGTAAAAGATGATGTTTAAAATGTGTTTGGTTTGTCTTTTATGACTTTTAAGTGATAAAAGCTAAAAGTCACAAAAAGATAAAGAATTTTTATCTTTTTTCCAGCCAACTTTTCCTTCGTGCTAAAAATTGGTTTTAAAAGATATTTTTAAATTACCCAACAACTTTTAATAATTTTTAATTTTTAGAAAAGTTAAAAATAAAAAAGATGATTAAAAAGAAATCACACCCTCTATTTTTGCAATTTTGTCAACTCTTATTCGTAACCTTCTTCCAAATCGAATTAGGGTTTTGTAAACAACCGTAAACCCTCCTTCAATCACGACTGTAAATCCTCCACCGGCGGACAATGGCGGACGCCATTTGTAGAGTCCTCCGCGACGGAGCATTAGAAGGCGAACACGCAACGTCTCTCACCATAAACGATTCTGTTGATTCACCGTTCGGTCCCATCGTCTTCGATTACATTTTCACTCAGCTATCATCATTCATATCGTCGGAAAAGTCTCAATCTCGGTAAAACATATCCTAATCCCTATGAATTTAGCTTTTCAATCATTGATTGAATTGAAGAGAGTTATATACATTCTTTCTAAATTGCACGGTTTCGAATTTCAGAGGCATCGTGCTCGTCTCTTTCGCTAGAAGCCCTTCGTCCACAGCTGAACTGCTTAACACCAGAGGAACTGATATCGCCACATCGCATCAATGGTAACAATATTATCCCATTACGAATTACGATCTGCTAAATCGATTATCATTTCATGTCTATTGTTCATTTGTTCTTCTTCCTATTTGGAAATTTTGGGACAGGTTGAGTGTTTTGGATTGTTATACAGATCCACTCGGTTGGAAAGAACAGCTCAAAGAGCGTGGAGCCATTAAAACTCCATCAACAGAAGCTTCACTTAATCTTAACTTATGCAAAGATGTGAGAAACTTGGATGATCTGTTCTCTCAAATTCTTGTGTTGGGGAAAGGTAGATACGAAATCATGATCTGTATTTCTTGAAATCCGAACTTCATTTCCAAATTCTATATTCAATCATTCATATGATTTGTATGAGTTTGCAGGACTTGTTGGAGAAGGGAAAACTCGATTCTCAGTTGCCATAGACTCTGTAATCCTTCTTTTTCCCTATTCACAAACTCAAACCTTCTTGATTTGCATCCATGAATCTGTATAATTGAGTTTTTCATATTGTGTTCAGGTAAGTGAGATGTTAAGACACACATCCTTATCTTCAGTTTCTAGCCTTATAAACAATCTTCGAAGCCATGGTATGCGTATATCATGATCATATTTTGCATAAAAATCATCTTTTTCTATAAAAAGAAAAAGAAAATCTCATCATTTACATTATTTTCAGCCCAAGTATCAAGTATCTTCTGGCTACTACATTCTGATCTCCATGATATCAAAACCACTTCTGCATTTGAATACATGTCTTCAATGGTGGCCAATGTAAAACCACTTTCTACAACAACCAATGCAGAGCAAAATTACAAAAAAGGACAATTTCATGCATCTTTAAAACGCAGAAATGGACGCGTTAGGGTTATGGTATTCCCCCCCCCCCCCCCCCCCCCCTCTCTCTCTCTCTCTCTCTCACCATTTACACACACACATAAGCATATTGAAGATTTGAAACAATCATTTTGATTGATAAAAAGTTTTATTTTTAGGTTGAAGAGTTTTCCAATGAGCAATCACAAATCAAATTCACATCTATGAATGCTGTGGAGAATGCAATCACTCAAAGCCTTGTTCCTAAGGTTAAATTCTGACTCATTTTATCATTTTTTATAAAATATATAATTAAAATTATACGTTTTGGTAGGTGCAATTTAATATGCAGTTATCAGATAAAGAAAAAAGTGATAGAGCAAAAGTTGTACTCCCATTTGAGCATCAAGGTTTGTAATTTGTATGCTTTTGTAGGTTGTGATTTTGTTGATTAATTAATTTATTTGTTTTTTTTTTTGTACAGAAATGGATAAATCAGTTCAAATATATGATGGGAGGAAATCTTTGACTGAGGTCAAACATGAGTCAAATGGTGAAAATTTGAAAAAACAGGAGGAGTTTGAAAGGGGGGAGATTATTTATTTTCGTGATTCTGATGATGAGATGCCTGATTCTGATGAGGACCCTGATGATGATTTGGATATATGATTTTATAATTTTTTTTATAAAAACAAATGATTCACCCGTAGACAATTTAGATGATTTTGCTTTTATTTTTCATAGTGTTGTAAAGATCAAATACCACATCCGCACCTTGTTAATTGTAGCATTTAGCATAATTTTATTCACCTTTAATTCTTCCCTTTTATTTTAATAATACAGTTAGTTAATTGCCATTATCTATTATATAAATTTGGTAGGAATTTGCCCCCATGTTTTGAAAACTAGACCGGATTGGAGGGTTTAACCTGGATCTGGTTCTTAAAGGCAAAAAAATCGGTATTCATGTGAACCTGTAAAAACTAGTTTGGTTGAATTGGTTCAAACCGGGAATTTTAAAAAATATTGTTTTTTTTTTTTTTTTTTTTTTTGTATAATTGAAATTAACAATATTGTAATTATGATATCATCCAGTTTTTTCGGTTTTTGAGACCGATCCAACCGATTAAACCATCGAACCAGTAAGACACGACAACTTTGGTCTTCGGTCAAGGTTTAATCTGCTCAACAAATCAAAATATTAATATTTTTTGACACAAGGACGTGTTATCACGAGATTCCAGTGTGACCGGTGGAACCATGAAATTTACCAAAAATTTAAAGAATCTTGACCCCAAAAGACCTATTTATGAGTATTATTCAAAAGAACGAAATCGCTAAGGATATGCGGAAAGAACAAAATCACTAAGGTGACTTGGTATGGGTCCTCCATACAGTGGAGGATCCTACATGGAAGACTTATAACGTCGTTAAGGTTGGGACAATGCTGCCACGTGTTTATGTTATGTTAAGCCTCGTTGCCATCATAACGTATCTTGACGCTTAAATTAAAGGGGTAAGTGTGAGTTTGATTGTGCAAAACTATTATATAGGAAAAAAAAATAATTATTTTCCTATTAATATAACTCAACCTTATTTTTTTACACACAACTCTCATCTTTCTTATCATTTTATAGAAATTTCCAACAAACAAATTTTATGGATCCGTTTGACCTGTCCTCCCATGATGATGATATGCTCATCACCATGATGCACGAGTATTACACTAACAAGCTACTAGAAGAAGATGTATCTTTTCTACTAACAAGAAGCGTGAGGTTAAATAGAAGGTTTCGCTTGAATAAGAATGTGTTTACACGGATAACCAAAGCATTGGAAAGCAGACAACATTTCTTTTATTGTTATACATTTTAAATATATCATTATACAAAAAAAATTACATAATATTACCTATTAAATATATGTTTAGGTATAGTTTTTTCAATTGAGATGATGCTAGAGTTAGACGAGGATTCACAGGGTTGCAAAATAAATACATATATTTTTTTCAATTTAAATGATATGTTTTTTTAATATTATATAATTTATTTTTATAACTATCGGAAAAAAAAAAACATTTGAAAAAAAAGGGAAAACAATATGAGATGGAAATTAAAGTGGTGTTGAGGTGTGGTTGACAATTTTCTACTTAAAATGGTATGGTGTAGAGAATGATGTTAAGACATAGATCCATACCTACGAGCCTAAACCTATGCGGTGTGATGTTAATAAACCACATGTTATGTTGATATGGCCCCCTCTTAACAAGGTGAACCCCCCCCCCCCCCCCCCCCCCCTTCTTCTATCTTGTGTTATGATTATGTGGAGTGGAAGTGTGTTAACTCTCTCTCTCTCTCTCTCTCTCTCTCTCTATCTCTCTCTTCAAGGTCATCATCTCCTCTAGGTAACTCAAATTCCTCAACATCTCCGACAAACCATTTTTTTGAAAACATTATCTGTCTTACTTTTTAAAATACACATAACTCATTCATATGAATTCAGAATTACTTTGTTTTTTTTTCCAACATATAATTTAGTATTTTTACTTCATTTTATATTATAAGAAGACATATTAAATCATATAGAACCCTAGAAAACAACATATCAATGTTGCTTTTTTTCTATATCAACATTTTTTTTTAAAAAGTGCCACTTTATATCGTTTTTTATATATGAAAGTGTATTTTTTTTTTTTTTTGAATACTTAGTTTTTCAATTTGTGGTTGTTGAAAATGCATTGTTATTCTTGGTTTCATTTTGAAAGTGCATCACTATTCATGGTGCATTGTTGTCATTGGTGCAAATCACAAAAACCGATTCTATTCTAAATGCTAATATAAAATGATTTAAATGTATTAAAGACACAAAAGTTGACAATTTGGTAAAATAGTAGAAACTAGAAAGAATACTTGAAACTTATAATTAAATTTGCATATCCACAAAAAATAAAATACATAATACACAAAATATTTAACTATAAAGGTTACAAAGCAATCATATGCATAAAACCCTCAAATAATCAAAAGGGTTGAAAGAATGAGATCAAAAGTTAGTGCATCAAACACCACATGAATAAAATCCAACTCCATGAATCAATCTGCATATATAAAAACAATTATTTTATTTAATTTAATTTAACAGAATTCAATAATCTTTTATTTAATATTTTCTCATGTAACAAAAGAATACCTCATGTTGATAAGATAACAAGCCCAATATACACAGAAGCACTTAGAAAAATGAAAGAAATCATTCCCCTGAAAAAAAAAATCAAAATTAAAAATAAAATATGAAAGTATGTTGCCTAAATTGGAAAGGGCAAAATCATCATTTACTAAAAACTAACCATATGACTCCCCATGCAACACCATTACATGGGCAAGGGCAAATTTCTGCAAACTTCTCAGCATCACTAGAATTAACTCTCCTCGAAATTAAATCATCATAAATATCTGCCAATAAAAAATTATTTTATTCAATATATATATAATAATAATACTAAACTTACATAATTACATACAATGATCATTCATAATGATATAATTTGTTAAATTGTCAGTTTTGATGAGTAAAGAATGTTTACTTACCATAAACAGAAAACAAACTGTTCATGACACCTGTGAAGAAAAGGGCAAAATTGTCATTTCCTAAAAAGGACAAAATGGGAAGAGTAATATAAGATCATATTTATAAATCATACCAATGAACAAAATGACATAACGAAGGATGCGAACTGTGGTTTTTTCTTGTAGGATCCAAATGACAGCAAGAAAGATAATAAATCCTGTGGAAAAATGTAATTTTTAAAATTATTTAGTTTTTTTTGGTAAATAAATATAAAAAAGTTATAAAGATTTGAAGTTACAGAATACAGACCAATGCAAAGTCCTCGAAGTGTCCACTGTTTCAATAAAACAAAGCAAATGGATGATTTCAAATTCAATATATTCAAATTACAAAATTAAAAAAGTTAAATAATTGTTGAAAAATAAAAATATTGTTACATTTTTGGCAACAAAGAGGACAATAAGAAGAGCAACTCCTAAACATCCAGCTGCAATTCTTGAAGTAAGAAGGCCAGTTGATGCCAAGATTAGAAGCATACCCCAGAAAGATGAACCAAGATCTATAAAAAAAGAAAGATTTATTTGCTAAAGATTAACAAATAAATGGAATTTAATAAAGAAATTAAAGAGGAATTTATAATTGATAATTTATAATGTCATAATGTTGTAATGTTGTAATAATACATCCAGCAGGTAGGATCAACCAATATACACCACCACGTGTCTGTGTTACTCCTCCTTCATTGGCATGAACCTCCATTCCCATTACCTGATAAAAATGGAGAAGATAAAGGATAAAGATGTGTGCTTGAAACTTGAAAGATGATGTGAATGGAAAGAAGATGAAGGGTTTTGTTGTTTTTTTACCTCTCCACATGTGAGTTTACAGGCGATTGCATGACTTGCTTCATGAAGAAAGACAGTGATGAGCTTGAAAGGGGTGAGTAGAAATGTTCTCCATAACTGTTTCATTCAAATTGAGTAAAATAGAGTGAAGAAACATGGAAAAGTTATGTCAAAATGATTTCAGAAGATTGGGGGGAATTGCAATTGGTGAATTAAACATATTCATGTTGAATATATGTATTATCAATGCACCAATGAGAGGTACTGTTTAATCTGTATAGAGTTAAATGCTTCAAACCCTAGTTTGTTGACCTAGAAACTTGATGGGACGATGATACAAGTTTCTTCCACCAATTACTACTGTAATCAATTAAATTTAAGAGCATCACGCTTATCACATTGAACTTGTTAACAATCAGATGTATCTTAAGGTTAACGCAGCAAAATTCCCAATCCTTTCAAGTTTCAACAGCAGATTCCCAAAACTATCCGTAAGATATGATGTTAATTGTTAAAGTATAAAAACAAAATAACTACTAAAAAGCACTGGAAAGTCCAGAGAAGCAAAGTGCGCATAAGAACACAAAAAAGTTTAGGGTTAACTACAATCGGAAGAAGAATAAGAATAAGAAGAAGAAGAATCTGATGAATAAGAGATAAAAAAAAAATAACTAAATTACGAGAAAATTTTGAGTAAGCTAACCGCGAGAATGACGAGAGTGAAGACGCCTACGGTGGCGAGAAATAGTTTCTGGTCTTTATCGCAACAATTCTGCAGCTCCCAATCCGGCTTCATCCCCGATTCTCTCTCTAATTCTCTCTTTCAACTCGAAGATCAGTCGGATTTGTAGAGAAGGAAGAGGGGATTTTGGAAGACTAGTGCGTGTGTGTGTGTGTGTGTGATCGGAGAAATTGGGAATTTGAAAAAATATGAATCGCCGGAGACGTTGAGGAGTTTGGTTTGGTGGCCAACTGGCGGATGACGGAAGTTTCCGAAGACTCCGTCTCCAATTGGATGGACCATCAAATTAACATCGTAAACGGTCACCCAATTAGCGCGTGACGACTCAGCGCCAATTTTAGCTTTTTAATTATTTTTATTTATTTTTTATTTTCAAAATCACGATGACTTTTTATCACGCTCGCTATCAAAGTGGTTAAAATATGTGTTTGAATGTTTGATAAAATAATTTTACATTTGATTTTGATTCTAAAATGTGAATTCGAATATATTTTAAATTAAATTTTTAAATTTGTTTTGAATCGTTAAATGTGAATTCAGTTGAAACGGCTTTTATAATTTTGTTTTGTAAAAATCTGGATATATTTTTTAAGAATATATAACTTACATATCAATCAAACATTAGAAATATAAATAAATTTGTTTAGTTGTGAGTTACAATTTTTTAATTAACTTCTAAGAAGTACATATTGATGTTTTTTGTTAAATAATTTTTTTAATTTGTATATACTAAAAGTAGTAAATATAAATACATAAATATAAAATATTATTAGGTTTTTAGAGTATTTGGTTTTTTTAGGAATATGTAAAATAATTGGTTTATTCTTTCTAATTCCCTTCTTTAACTTTTTTTTTAATTTTTTTTAATTGTTTTTAATTTTCATATTAAGATTTAAATGTATAACTCATTTTGTCCCATTTTTTCCGGTCATTCCATAAATTAGATTTTGGGTTTGGATTTTTTTGGGTTTAGCATCCATGGGTTGTGATTTGTAGGGACTATTTCATGTTGTTCATAAAATCGCTTTTCCTTGGGGTTTGATTTAACACATATACAAAACATATAGTTTACTCTGACTTTGCTTTAGTTTTTTTTTTTTATTCAAATTTAGGACTAATCATTGATCATAAAAATGCACAGGTGGATATTGTTCACAATTTTTTATTTTTTATTAACCTCCATAAAACTTATTTGTGGTTTCTATTTTTATTTTTATTTTTGTTTTTTATATGCTTATAATTTACCCACCTGCTTTTTTATATATATATATATATATATATATATATATATATATATATATATATATATATATATATATATATATATATATATATATATTATTCATATCATATTCAATTTGTGGTATTTATAACTTTTTTTTTCTTGTTCTAAACTTAAGCATGATGTAATAGAGTTTTAAAATAAGAATCTATCTTTTTTTAAAAGTATGACATTTTATACTCTTATATTTATATCTTTTATAGTTTCTACATATATTCACTTATTTTATCAAAAAAAACATCATTTTTTTTTAATCAAAACATTATTTAATACAATTTATTTATTATTTTTTAATAAAAATGTCAATTTTTATAATATATTTTAACAGATTAATGGTGTGTTGTGTTTTATTTTTTTTTAAATTAAATTCAAATATTTACACATATTTTATAAAAATAGTGTTAATAAATTATCTATAGAATAAATAAAATAGATATTATTTTAGTAAATAGATTTATAAATAATTATTATTTACATATTAAAAAAAACTATTAGTCGAGGTGTGAAGCTCGTCTGAAGACATCACTGTCGTAGATAGAAGGAGAGAAAGAGACATAGCTTTAGTTGATGTATGAAGGTCGTTTGAAGGTCAACGGAAATCCCTAAAAACCGCCATGAAACATTGCCGGAAAACGCATGCAGCTCGTCGGAAATTGGCCCACTCCTTTTCTCTTTTTTTCTTGGCGGTTGCATCCTTTTTTACTAAGGCTAAGAGAAAGTAAATAATTTATACCTATAGTTTTACATTAATAACCTATCTATTTTGAAGATATGATATTTTATACCCTTATATTTATATTTTTTCTGCATATATTGATTTAATTTTAAAAAATAAACATCAATTTTTTTATCAAAAAATTATTTAACTTAATTTATGTATTTTTTTTTTCACAAAAACACTAATTTTCATAACAACTTTTTTAATAGTTCACACAAATAAAATAAATAATCTTTTTTATTTGCTGTAGATAATCATCTATGGACTAATTTATAATAGTTTTTTTTATTTACCAATTTTTATAATAATTTTTAAAGAAAACTATTATAAACTATTTATTAAAATATTATTTAAAGATTTTAAAAAAAACATAAATTATTATAAACGATTAATAGTTATCTAAAAATTATAGAAAACTATTACTTGCATACCTTTTTATATTATTTTTTTGCTATAAAAATTAGTCACTTTAGTTTTCAATAATCATAGAATATTACAATAGTCTTTTTTAATAACATATTTATGAAATAAATAAAATAAATAAATATTTTAGGAAATATATTTATAAATATTAATTATTATATATTAAAAAAACTATTAATTATAAATATATTAGTAAAAAAATTATCATCACAACCCAATTATTGAAAATAATATTAATTAGTAAAAAGTATATCATCATAATCTAATTATGATAAAATAATCATTAAGGGGTAGTAATAAGTATAAAGGGGTATGGATAAATGATGATAATTAAATATTATCATAATAAACATGTTAAACCGTTATTAAAATATTATTAATTTTATTAAATGGACACATATCATCATTCAACATGCATCGAAGATGAGAATGAAGAAAATGTGGGATGATATTTGATTTCTCTAAATATAATATTATTATGTTATAACTCGTGAAAACCATAATTGGTATATTTAAAATTATCATATAAAAAAATTAAATGAAAAAAAAATGAAGCATGTTATGATTTAAAAGCAAGGGTTTGCCAACTTTAAATTAAGGACCAGGTAAAGAAGATAGATACGATAATGTTTTGGATTATGTGTCTAAAACAATGATTAAATTAGTATATACTTGAATTAAAAGCAAATTCCTTTTTAGTTATCCTCGAAACTAGCAATTGACTGGAATGACTTTCAGAAGGAAAAGTTGATTTATTGGTATTATTATATGATTAATAAATAACAATAAATAATTTATAAGTATATTATATGATTAATATATTAGTTAGAAATAATAATATTTAATTAATAATTAATCAAAAATTAATTGGAATTAATTTTAGGATTAATTAGATTAATTAAAAGTGTAATAACTTAAGCTGTAACTGTTTAATAGTTAAACAAGAGAAGAATTATGGAATGTTCCTATGGTAGCCAAAAATTGGTGTGCTCCTAGGGTTTCTAGAATGCTCCATGTAGATAATATGGATAATTCGGAAACTAGATAATTCCATATTTGAAATGATATTATTTTTTTTTTTCAAATTAAGGTTTTTAGGGTTTTCCTATCAGCTATAAATAGGACCCTTAGGAGTCCTCATTTTCGCCCGAGCCTTATCATACACAAGAAGAGCCGAATTTTTGCCCCCCTCTCATCTCTCCTCTAAAGTATTCCATTGTTAGGGTTTGGGTACAACCCATTAGAGACATTATTATTTTGGTGTTAGCTTTCCAAGGGAATTGAAGAAAGGAATTGTTGATCATTTATTAAAATAATCAAAATATATGTAAATCCTAATCCTTGTTATTTTAAATAATAGTAGGAAGCCTTATGGTTCTTGATGTTCAATTGTTTATTGCTTTCAATAGAGAAAACTTAGATCCAAATAAGTTGCATGTGAACTTAGGGGTTAACTTGTTTTCGCCTCTTGCTTTAACTATGACCTATAAAACCTATAAGTGGTATCAGAGTAATAGTTTTCAATTGAGTATGCATAATGTTAAATATATCAAAATTCGGGTTTATAAAAATTAAACCCTAAGGGCTTGAAATTTCAAAAATAGATTGAGTTCTTGAAACCCTAGCCTCCACCCCTTAAACATTGAAATTTGCTAGGGTTAGTTAGGGTTTATATTAATGGGTTTTGAACATATCCACATTCCTATGTGATCATGCAACCCTAATTTCTTTGGATCTAAGTTTTTCACTAATTAAACATGCAAATTGAATACCAAAGCAATAACCCTAGAACAAGCATACAGTTTTCAAAATTCATATGAAAATAGGGTTAGAAGATCACCTCAATTGTTATAATGTAATAACAAGACAATCCTTGAAGATTCTTGACTCTTGAAATCTTAGTGCCCCAACTGTTGCACCTCTAATGGAGTCACAGACACTCAATGCAAATGATGAGAGGAGAGACACGTAGAAATCGGCTAGGGTTTCTTTCTTTCAAGCATAAGCCGAAATTCCAAGTGTTTAGGGGTTTATATATGGCTAGGTTGCTTAGTCTTGAAGCTGGACTTAAATAAGGGAACCCATTCTTACCTTAAGCCCAAAGCAACCCATTGACCTCCATAAGATGCCTTGGACGAAATCTCATAAGCCCAAGCTATAAATTCCATCCACTTGATCAAGGAGTCCCTAGGCCCATTTTCACAACTATCAATGATTTGCAAAACAACTCTTCCATTATTAATCAGTTCATTTAATCCCAAAATTAATATTAAATTAATTTCTGATTAATTACCAATTAATAATATGATTTCCAAATAATATATTAATTCTATAACATATTAATGAAATCATTTGAGTACCAATTCATTATTACAAATAATAAATCATACTTTCTCTCCACCAATCATCCTGTCAAGTTGCATGAGTGAAGGCAACCCAAAAGGAGCATGCTACTATCAAATCAAGTACACACCAACTATAGTTATATGCTTAGACACACAATCCAACAGTCTCTCACTTGGATAAGTCTAATAACTATGATTGCAAGTATGGCTTTAAAATTTGACCAACAATCCTAGCTTTCAAAAGCCATTGTCGAACTCTGATCCAACCAACGACGAGGCCTTTAGATAAGTGATCAAATATCCCGTCATTTTACAAGATATCGTATGGAAACGAGAGATGGATTATAATCATTCTCTCTGTCCAAGGTTTTATTTCCCGATTTCCAATTTATAACGACTGACTAATTGAACAAATAAAATCAGTCCTTTAGTAGCCAACAAGGCCTAAGAACTGGTGGATTTCTGTTGGTGTCCTTGGCGCTTCCCAGTTTGTAATTGCTTTGATTTTGGATGGATCCACATGTATCCCTTCATCGCTAA